AAGCCTGTTGCGCCAGAAATGTAAAACCTCGGCCCTCGAGCATCCATCCTCGACCCCCCCCAAAAAAAAATCCAGTCCGGGCCGGGCCCTGACCCCCCCCTGGGGCCCATGCCGACAGGCCCCCCCTCCTGCATCGATCCCCGGCGGCCCCGGGGCCCGAAGCGGACCCCCGAGGTCCGAAATCCGGGCGAGCTCTGCCACACCTCGAGGAAGAGGAGGCGCGACCTTCGCCACGAGGGGGGCACGTCGGCCTCCAGCCGCCCGCGCGCGCGCGCGCTCAGACGGCCGCCGCGGCAGCAGGCGGGCGGCGCCGAGGGCGGGGCCGAGCGCGCGCCGCGAGCGCGAGCGCGGCTTCGGAGCAGCGGGAAGCGCAGCGCCACGCGGCCCCGCGCCGCCCGCGAGGTCGGCGGGAACCCCGGAGCGCGCCCGGCTGCGGCGACGCCGCGGGCGGCGCCGCAGAGCGCCGGCGGGCGCCGTCGACGGGCGGGCGGGCCAACCGCGCGAGCGCCGACCAGCTCGGCTGGCCCTTCGGGAGGCCAAGGCGGCGGATCCTTCCAAGCCGCGCAGGAGGCGCCGTTGCCCCGGGCCGTTCGGGCGCGCGCTCGCGGCGACCCGTTCGGGTTCGGCGAAGGAGTCTTCCTGGGCGACGGTCAGGTCATGGTCTAGCGGAGGGCGCGCGAGCTGCGTGCGCATTGGGGTCGAGCTGCGGGGAACGTGCAATCAGCCTGCGGTCGATGGCCCACGGCGCGGCGCCGTTGCAAAGGCACCCCTGCAGACGCAGCAGGCGCGACCTCTGGGGCGAGAGCTTCTTCTCGCGACGTCCACGACCTCTGGGGCGAGAGCTTCTTCTCGCGACGTCCAACTCGCGGTCTGGAGAGGCTGCCAGGAACGCGATGGCGGGCTCCCCCAGGGGCCCTGTTCAGCGTGGACCAGGAGGCCCATCGCTGCGAGCCGCCATTTGCGAGCAGCCTGAAGGTCGCCGAGAGCTCGAGAAACCGGCGTTGCAATGTAAACGATTGATGCGCTTGAGGACGGGGCCGACCTGCAGACCGGCGGCCCCTCTGCGGCCGCGGTCGCGCTCGGATCCTTGGAGGCCGTGTCCGAAAGGGCCTTGCGCGCGTCGAGCCAGCCCTGGACCGTCGCAGCTGCCGTTCTCAACATCGTCGTTGCCACGAGGGTCTCGATGCCGCATGGCGCCTCGGACGTTCGTCCAGAGCGACATCGCCTGCGCGTCAGATCTCGCGGGGCTGTTTGGCGCGGCCCGCAGGGGCTTGTGGGTGGCCTGCAGCTAGCTGAGGTGAGCTCGACGAGCTGGCCGACGCAGGGAAGGCAGGCGGCCGCCGCGACGCCGCGCAACGCGGTGCTCTGCTGCAGCGGGGCGCGAAGCGCAGCGAGCTCCCCGACGCGGCCCGGCCAATTGGCGGAAGGCCGCCTCCGCCGCGCGGCGGCGGGACCGCCGGGGGCCGCGTCGAACCCGAAATGGCGCGCCACGGGCTCACCGCTGGAACCCCTTCGGCCGCGGCTGGCGCGGAGCGGCCGGGATCATCCGCGCCTCGCCCACCATGGCGTGGGCCGCGCCAGGAGCCAGGGCGGCGCGTGGATGCGCCTTGTGGCCTGGAGAGCTCGAGGGCAGCCGGCACGTCGGCCGCGACGGGAGGTGCGGGGCCAGCTTCGAGACGTCGTGGAACTCGGCGAGGAGGGCGCCTGGGTCGTCGGCGCAGGCACCGACGAGCCCGGGGGGATTTTTGATTTCCGGCCTGATGGCCCGCTCGAGGGGGTCGAAGACACGCGCCTAGGTGGCGCCGCGCAGCGGGCATCCCTGCGCGACGCCCGATGCTGCGACGAGCCGAGGGCGTCGCGCACCATCCAGCTCTAGGCAAGACAGCGGCTCGAAGTAACAGTCCTTGATCGGCTTCATGAAGTCGCCGCAGATGTCCCAGCGCGCAAGAAACGTCCACATCCACTGGTGGACGAGGTTGGCGAAGGCAGCTGCGATGTCCATGCTGGCGCAGACGGGTATGTCGATGGCGGCGCCCTGCAGCACGCTGAGGCGACGAGCTTCACCTTCGGGGAGCATCGCCATCAGGGGGTGGTTGAGATCGCATTGAGGAGAAGTGGTGTTGACAACATCGTGGTGCAATTCAGCAAACACTTGAAAAGGTCGGAGAACGTTGCCACGTCCGACATGGTAGCCCGTCGGGTCCAGGGACGGAATCTCCAGCGCGTCGGGCAGCTTGCCCCGCGCCGGCTGCATCTGCATGACCAGGTCCAGGAAGCTTCGATGCGGGAAAACACTGTTCAGGTGGTCAGTCATAGCGTTGTCGTCCACATGTTTGGCGGCAGAGGTTGGTCGGTTCGCGATCGCGTTTTGCATCGCGGCTGGATCTAGAACGGCGGCGTTCGCCGTGCATGCCTGGATCTTGCCGCCCGCGAAGATGAGACGTTTGGACAACGGCTTCCAGAGCTCAGCCCTGCAACCTTCATGCCGTGATCGCTGGTGCCAGCGCAGGCGGCCCCGGAGCGAGCGGCTGCCTTGGCCCTCCGCTCGTCGCAGACTTAAGCTTTGAATGCGTCGGCGTCAATGAAATCGACCTCGTCGCCAGCGCGCCGTCAATTGTGAGCGGCGTTGTTGGCGTTGGGAAAAAAAGGGTCTGTGCCATCACGGAGTCCTGATGCCAGACGGCTCGCGCGATACTTCGCAGCGACATTGCGCGGACCTCCTTGGACAATTTCGAGAACTAGCTGGAGAGCCCGGCAACTGGGTTGCGCATCATGTTGTCCCTTGCTTTCTTCGCGGCCTACTGCATGATGGCTTTGAGGGACCACCATCTGATTGATCGTCGCACTCATGGAGTTCATGTCCGTAGCGTCAGTCATGCTGTTGACGTGGTGCGCGTAGTGCGGCGAAGCAAAGACGAAGGCAAGTATCCCTCATTCCCTCGGAAGGCGGGCGCGGCGTGGACGAATGCGAAAGTGCATGATATTGTGGTCACTGTCCACCCCGCTGGGGCCTTCTTCCAGCGGGGCATCGCTGGCATTCAGCACCGCTTCCATCATCCTCACCGCGTGGCTCGGCAAGTAGATGAAGCACCTGACGATCGTGGACCCCGTCCCGTTGACAGTGCAGCGATTTGTCGTGGCCATCGTGCTGATTTCGATCATGTCCTTGAAGATGCTGCGCCAGAATGCTGCGCGGCGGTGCTGTTGGAATCGACGGGGGCGTTGATGCTCTTGGGCGGTTGCTCGGAGACGTTGGAGTCTCCAACCAGCTGTAGGAGACGATCCGTGGGCTGACCAACTCCACGAGTACGCAATTGCCGCTGGTGAGGAAGAATACGATCACCATCATCGTGGTTGAAATCGTGGGTGTGAACAATCAGAGTTGTGACGTCGAGCTGCCGTGGAATTCCAACGACTCTGAACCATGCGGCACGCCCTAGAACGATGACTTCGAACTGCCGAAGTGGTCGCTCTTCAGGTGTGCGGCTCAGGTCTGCCTTGCCGATGGGCACCAGGAAACCCATGCCGCCCGCAGTGGCGGGTTAGGTGTTCATGTGCTGTTTGCGATGTCCAGAACTACTTCCCCTGAGAGGCTGCCGGGAGCATGACGTCGAGGCTGGAGGAAAAGACAAGAGCAAACCCAAATAGTATCAGTGATGCTACAGTACACCTTCCCGTCTCAAATCCCCTCATGCATTTCTACTAGCTGTCCTTTTTACAACGCGAGAAACTTCCCGTTGAACGACCAGCGCAGATGGGCGTAGAAGTAGGAAGACGCAAACCTTCTATCACACAATTCAAAGAGATGTCCGACGACGCGTTCTTGCCGAAGAATGACCACCTCCAATCCGTGTACCCCAGATTTCGTACTAGAAGGGAGGGGGTCACAACCCTCCCAGACGAGAAGTTTTAGGCCCCCCCCCAACCATCCATGAAAGGGCGGCACGTTGCCCAGGCCCCCCCGAACCCTTCAAGGCAGCTCAAATCAGACCCCCCCCCAAATGTGAACCCCCCTACTTTATTATGGAATCCAGAGTAACTGTTGCACGGGTTCACACACGTGGTCCTGCACGTCGGAGGAGTCTCGAGCCGGAGCTCCACTTTGAGACAGGGCCGCCCAGGATCCGTGCGGTGCTGCATCTGTTGAAGCCTCGGCTCTGTGACATGAGCGAGGTGTCCAACGTGAACAACCTCGTTCGAGCCGGATGCGCGCGGTGCTCAATCGAGAGTCCCACTTGCAGCTGTTGCACAGCTTGAAGAACGAATGCGTGCGGCGAGCGGCGCTAATGTGAAAACCACGGTTTGAAAACTCCCCCTGCACCCTTGAACGTGCTGCAAACTTTCACATGCATGCGCGCGATGCCGAGGCGAGGGCCATATTGTAAAAACGGACCATCGAAATTTTAAAACGAATGCGCGCGGCGTTTAGGGAAGAGCCACATGCGCCACATGTTGAAAACGATCCCCTGCACCCGTGAAACTACTGCACACTATCAAAACGCATGTGCGCTACACCCGGGCGAGAGCCGCATTTTGAGAACCACCCCCCTTCATCCCTGGAGTTGCTGCAAACTTCAAGCTTCAAGTGAAGACGTCTCAGGCGGATCGCCCGGCCATTCCTACCAACACGCTTGGGGCGCAAGGACAAAGGTTAGAAGTGGAAGGAGGAATAATAGAGAGAGGAAACACTGAAGAGGACTCCTCGTCGGCTATTGGAACAGAGACCACGAGGCCGTCGACCTCAGCAGGCCCTGGTGTGCACTTCGGACAGGCGGACCGCCTTCTCCTGGCAGCACGCCTCCTTCATCCTCTGGGTTTGCAGAGGGAGGGTGGCGAGGAGGAGGAGGAAAAGGAGGAGGAGGAGGAGCAGGAGGAGGAAGAGCAGGAGGAGCAGGAGGAGGAGAAGGAGAAGGAGGAGGAGGAGGATGAGGAGGAGAAGGAGGGTGACGAGGAGGAGGAGGAGGAGCAGGAGGTGGAGTGTTTCTGGCCACCCCCGCGGCCTTGGGCGGCGGCTTCCGGCGGTTCCTCGCAATCCGGCGCGGCCCCCGCCGGAGCGCAGCGCTGCGCGCGCTCCTCCGCAACGGGGAGGGGGGCGACGAAGACGACGAAGACGACGACGACAACGATAACGACAACGACGACGGCAACGACGACGGTAACGGCGAGATGGCGACAGCCAGGGTGGCGGTGGCGACGGCGGTGACGCCAGCGGCGGCAACGGCGGCGACGACGGCGACCACGGCTACGGCGACGGCGGCGACCGCAGCAACGAAAGCCGCCCCGCACGCCGCTTCGGGAGTCACCTCGCTTCTGAAAATTTCGCCACGGAGGGTAAAAAGGATTGAGCTCTGATTAGCAGGAAGCGGTCGACGCAAAAAATCTACACCGCGGGACGGCATGTACGATCACTTGAGCAATCTGGCATGGGTTGGGAGACAACACGAGGGGCTTCATGGAATAATGCCCATTCCGACATGATGTTTCAGGTCGGGTAAATCACGTGCGACCTTATGTAAATTCACGCGCAACGAGCGGGAGCCGGAGCAATCTCAACAACACAAACAACTGCGACATAACGTGCGACGTGCATGTTGCAAGGCTCATCCGTAAGGTAAGACAATGCAAAATGTGGGCACGCGAAAAATAGAAGCAGTAACTATTGCATAGAGCGGTTGCAGCGTGGCAGTGCAAAAGGAGATGCAGGTTAAGGCGGGATCCCCGCTCGACTTTCATCTATCACAGCTGCCAAGTACATGAATTGGGCTTGGGAGCTGCACCGGTGAAAAGCGCGACACACCTTGGAGAGAAACGAGATAAGGAACAAGTGCCACTGGTCACGCATTTTCTCTCACCTGGGCTTCCTCGAGCTTGACCTCGGCCTCTTGCATTTGCCACTGGCTGTGGCATTATGCGCAATCTCGCGTTCGCGGTTTGTCAACTGCTCTATCTTCCAGCGGCGGTCACTGTCCATCGTAAGCTGGTGACTGTCCATATGGCTATTCTTCCCGTCGCTGTCGGCCCAGGCTCCCAACCTGGCCCCGACGTTGTCCTGGGGCAACTTATTCGACGTCCTGTGCCTGTTGCTGTTATGCATTCAAACTGCTCTCCCGTCGGTGCAGTCTGGAGGGCGGGCGCGACCCACTCGAGAAGGCCCCGGCACCTCGCGTCGCAATTAACTTCCGAACTGGGGCCCGCCGCCCAGATCTGGCTAGCGGCACACACGTGATAATCCCTCGCTGGCAGCGGGGCCTGCCGGCAAATATTCTCGTCCTTTCGGCCGCGAACTCGTGCACTTGGGCGGGCCCATTGTTCGCCACGCGGCTGCAAAGGTCGCGGAGACCCGATCGCGGTCGCGGTTGCGGAAAGGGCTGTCCAGCGCCAGGCCCCTGGGGGATGCTCGACAGAACGCTGGTTTCAGCCGCTAGGTTTCCTGATGGTCGAGCCGGAGTTGCGACGGGAAACCTGAAGACCATCGCCAAAGTTGCGAACCCTATGTGCCAGCTCGTCGGCGAGGGCTCGCACTGCCCATGGCCCGTTCTGGCCATGATATTCCCGTGATCATTCCAGATGGTTGAGTCGCTGCAAGTGGCCTTCACAAGGCCACGGCACGCCGAACCACGCGGTCACCATGTTGACGCACCCCCGCTGCTGCAGCTCGCGGACGTTTTTTCAGGCACACCTGCGCGTTCATACTGACGTCATAATCGTACGTGCGCCTGGGGAGCTGACGCGGCGCGCGCGCGCGCTCCTGGCTCACCCTTACGACCGTCAGGGAACTGACTCTGGGTGGCGCCTGCCAGGTGGACGCGCTCGTCGCCGTCCTCGACGGTGATCGCGCCAGGCCCAGCGCCGCGTCGGCGGCCCCTCGAGATAAGCCATGGGTATCGCGCGGGAAAGATCGCCGAACAGAGCGTCGAACAACTCGCAGTAAGTGTCGCTGTCTACACTGGTTCCGACTTTGCTTTGCGGGCCGCGCATGTCACGCAATGAGCGGTTATTCAACCCCGCGAAGTCATCGCCAGACCACCCTCTCACCCTTTTGGTCAGAAGAAACGCGCGCGGTGGAGCCTGCTTGAAGTCGAGGGCGCGATCAGTGCGCCCCGCGAGATTGGCAACGCCCTCGGGCATGGCAAGGATACCCCGCGCTGTCTGGCCGAACTCTGGGCCAGCAATGTTGCTGGCGCGCGCAGACAGGGGCGATGACGGGACTGGGCGGCCCAGGTGGAGGAGGGGCGCCCAGTGGCGTGGGCGCGTCTGGGCTGCCTCTGCCAGCTCACTTGTCATCGCTCTGGTCGCCCGCAACGTCGCGCTCTCGCACTGGTGACCTGCTCGTGTCCGCCGCTGCCAGCTGGGCGCCGATGCCGTGTGTTCAGAGCAGGAAGTGCAAGCCGCTACGTCTTTGAACTTCACGCAGCTCCACGGCAACGCGCAAGTGCTCCGTGCCATGCCGCGCGAATCCATTAGTTCAGCCCGCGCCGAGGCGATTCCTATTGGACTTCAAATGTCCGCGAGAAGTCAAGAACCTGCCGCGCGCATTGGGCTAACTGCCAGCAGCGGGGCAGCCATGCTCATTGTCGACACCCTTTGCCGTCTGCCTTATTCTAAGCGTTTCAAGCGCGTTGAAATACAAGCGATTTCCAGTCGCATCACGTGCGTTTACGTCCATGGCGAATCCTGGGGTCGAACCCATCTTGTCGACTGTTCCTGTTGCCCTGGCGCAGGAATGAGCTTTGCCCGCGTGAGCCCGCGCTGCTGTTTGATTTTCCACCCGGCCTGACTTGGCGGCGGCGCCCGCGAACTTCTTCGGGCGACGACTTGCCCCTCGTCAGATTTCCATGTCGCGATTGCTGCGTTGACGCCCATGTCTTGCAATCCGCGGGCGATTACACCCGTCGCTTGGCCGCCTTAATCTTCTAGCCCGCCGCTTCTCTCGCCCCGGAGTTCTTCCTCTGGCATCGTGACCCTGCGCGGGCTTCAATCTGCGCGCTCCCTCGGCCCCAGTTGTGAACGACGTGGCGCGTTCTCCGCATGCCGGCGACGCCGCATTGAACGCGCGCCCGCGGCGCTGCCCCCGCGCGGCGCAGCCATCCGCGCCGACAGTAAATCCGCAGATGAGAAATACATTGCACCATTCCAAGCGTGAGACGGCGACCCTCGGCGAGCTCGGTCGCATTGCGCGCGACCGCTGCGCCCGTCGAAGCCGCCCCCGCCGCTGTCTGGACGTCCCCGTTGGCCGATGAATCTCCGGCGGGGCTGATGCCCACCCCTGCGGCCGTCGGCGCGGAGGGCCCCGCGGCATCCTCGAGAGCCGCCGCGGAGAATCCAGCGCGGCCCTTGAGAATGACTTGCCTGCGCCCAGCGAGCGATTTCAGATCTCTTCTGACTCCGAATGAACGACGGCCCGCCCCTTTCTTGCTTGCCGCTCTATCGGGTTGCCTGGCTCCACGCATTCGCCGCTTCCTCGCTGGTCTTTGCCCCGCAAGCATTCGCCCTTGAATCGCGCGTTCTCGACTGGGGCAAGTGGCATTTCATGCGGGTTAGTCTCGTCTCGCATTTTGCGCCCCATTCTTCCGGCTGTGCCTCGCGCGCGGCGAGCGCGCCAGTTGCGGCGCGGCACGCGGCTGACATCGCGGCCATCTCCATCCGCGTCGCCGGGGGCGGGGTCGCGCGCCGCCCCCCTGCTGCCCCGGCCCCCCGCGTGCAAACGCATCTTCAATTTCACTCTCGCCGCCGCTGCGCTCGCGCCCTATTGGCGCGCCAGGGCTTGCGGGCCCTAACGGAGGAGGCACCCCCGCGGGGGCCACTGCCTCGCCCGCCGGTTGCGCTGGCTTCTCCTCCGTTCCTGCGAGGGCCCGAGTGGCGAATTGGATTGCAATTCCCCCGCCTGAGGCTTTGCGCCCCCGGCAACTGCGCGACCTGCCATGCGCGCGCAGATCCAAGGCGATCCCGTTGCCAACTTCCACTATTTCACGCCCGGTCCCAACGCTTTCTTTGCGTCGGCAGCTTGCGCGGAAATCGCGACCTCGCCGCTGCCCTCGTTTTGTCTTGCGAGTACTCTGTAGCCGCGGCACTTCATTGCGCCCCCAGCGGCGGCGCTGCGGCGGCGGGCACTTCACGAGGCCATGACTGTCCTGCTGGAATGCGAGCGCCAACAATCAGAAGTCCAACTGCGCCACGCGCCCCCCCGGCGACCACCGCAGACTCTACGCGCCATGGGGGCTGCGTTCAAATCCTCCGCCCCGTGGGCAACCCCCTCACCAATCCGAGGCCACCTGCGCAATCGCTGCGCCTACATCCAATGGCCTCAGAGCGGCCGTACTTCTGGCGCGCCATTCACCAACATGCGATGCAATGTCTGACCTCACGTGCAAAATTGTTCTTTGTTCTGGCTAGCGTTCCCCATTGCGCCCCAGTCGAATCGGCGCGCCCCCCGCAGGGCGGCGCAACGTCCAGGCTCCATGTCCGGCTGAGATTGCCCTGCGTTATATATATATATATATGTCCCCTGTTCATTGCTCGCTCGTGCGACTTCGTCGGCCCCGTTGGCGCCGTTGGCCGCGACGCGACCATTCTGGCCGCCCTTGCTTGCATTGTAGCGCTCGCGCTCACTATGGGCGCGCGCCACAAGGATAAGCACCCAGTTGTCTCGATTGCTTCTTAGCTCCTTTGCAATTTTCACAGTTGCCCCTGTTGCATCCCATCTGCCAGTCTGGATCCCCCTCTCTCCATGACCGCTGTGATGCCTTTGCCTTTGACTCTGCAGTCTCGTGCCATATGTGCCATGTTCCGCACCTACAGCATATTGGTTATCCTTGGCCGTCGCCTTTATTGACTGACTTCACATCTCCCTCGCCCCGACAGCGGTCGTCAGTCCAGCCCGGATTGCCCTCCTCGTCCATGGGCCACCAAAGAATTTCCCCATCGTAATATCCATGATAACACCCAGGGGAACAACCGGGATTCATGGTACTCTCCCCCGATGTCAATTGCGTCGCCCCTCTCTGCGTCAGCGTCCAGTCGCCCAGCGCCCTCGTGCCACAAATGCAACTTCTGGTAAGACTCGTTTGAGAGGGAGCCGGGTGGCTTGAATCAGTCCTGCTGTCAATCATCGAACCACTCCACGGCGTGGTCATTGTGATTTTTCAACGTTGCTTTGAAGGATAGTGGCAGCTCCTGGGATTCCCATTCTTTCCCAGGCTCTCTACTGGGACGCCCACTTGCACGAAATGAACCGACGTGCCACTTACTAATTTTGGTCTGGCGGGGCTCATGGATGAACTCATCTTAGCCGACAAGGACACCCCCGATACTGCAACAAACCACTTGTAAATCTTCGTGTCTGCGATCAATCTCCCGCCTTCCGTAAAGCCGCGTAGATTTCCCCATGCCTCAGGGCTTGCTATTTTCCCGTTAGAACCTGCACTCATCCAGTTTGTGGTTTGTCGCGTTGTATTTTTGCCAGGTCCAACTTGTTCTACTATTTGGGCGGGGGCCGTATGTGTTCTCACTTTTCCCATGGCCATGTTTGTAACCTCGGCCACTGTCACTTGCGTAGTTTCCATCTCGTGTTTGCTCTCACGACTAATGATGCCCAATAATGCTGCGGTCGATTGTCGCAGCATCCTCATTCGTGACATGGCGGGCTCGGTGGGCAAATCTCGATTACACGTGCGATCTTGCTCTCCCAGGTAATTCGTCATTGCGTCATGGTCAGCCTGCAGGCCCGTATTGACGAACTCGTAATCACCTTGGTTGCGCGCGGTGGAATAAGTGAGTCTAAGGTTGGCGAGGTTGTTCTGTATCCATTGCTGTCGCGTGGTGCGTATTGCTGCACCCGCTCTCATTGCCATCGCATCGCTCGGCCACCTGGCAAACTTAACAGTAAGATGGAAATGATGGCCGAGCCCTGGTTTATACTTGGAGGCCAACGCTAAATTACAAAACTATGTCACACCGCCTGACTGCGGTTACGAGGAATTGGGGCCACGTGTCGCGTTTTTCGCAAGTACCTGAAGGGCTAGATTGAAACCCCTTCTGCTGCTGCTGCTCCTCCTCCTCCTCCTTCTCCACCTGCTCCCTTTCCCCATCACACTCCTTCTGCCTCCTCCTCCTCCTCGTCCTCCTTCTCCTGCTCTTCCTTCCCATCCTCCTCCTGCTGCTTCTCTTACTCTCAATCCTCCCCCTGGTCCTTCTTCGTCTTCGATAGGCCTCCTTTTCTCCAACTATATTCCTCATGTTATCCTCGCTTCATTGGAATTCCCGCCCTCTTCCTCATCCCCCTCCCGCTTCCGCTCTGTCCCTTCCTCTTTCTCCTCCTCCTCCACCACTTCCTCATTATCCTGCCACTCCTCCTCTTTATCCTCGTTTCCGTGATTCCGTTGTTGCGTGGGGCCGACTCTCGCCGCAATGTCTTGTTTCCTCCTCCTCCTCCTCCTCCTCTCCTCCTCGCCCTTCCCTTTTCCCTCCCCCAACCTCGTCATCACCCGTCTGACCCCCGCCCCTCCCTTCCTTCTCCGTTAGGCTGTCGGTGGTGCCGTGGCCACTGGGTGTAAAGGGTGCGAACACGAAAGAAGACACCTTGCAGCAACGGCAACCGTGCGGAACAACAGCGGCAATGATATCCCGCAGGAAGGGGCACCCCGCAGACAAGGAACACCTACGCCAAAGGTCCAGGACGTTGTTTCCTCCGCCCCATCGTGCTGCTCGTTCCTCCTCCCGCTACCAGTCCTCCTCCGCCTCCCCCCCTCCATCCACCTCCTCCTCCTCCTCCTCCTCTGCCTCCTCCTCCTCCTCCTCCCCCTCCTCCTCCTCCATCTGTTTGCCTAATATAATCAACGATCCTTCCCCCCTGTCGCACCGCTAGGCGTGTCCGTTGGCCGCGCCGCGTGTTGTTCAGCATTTCCTTACGACGTGCATTCAGTCGTGAAGCAAACTCCACCCGACACAAAGATGAAGGGTTGGTCGTCTTCCAAAGGCGGTTCTCGACCTAGCGCCGCGCACGATCGTTTGACTAGTCTCCATCAGCTGCAACATGTACATCAGTTGTTTTACACATGCTGCGTTCTCTTAACCCCGCGCACACTCGGTAGGCAAGCTCCTTACACTTGGAAGGAGGGTGCTGAATGGTCAACATGAAGCTCTCGCTTGACACGCGCGGCATTATAATACACGGAACTTCAAGCTGTGCAGCAGATCCACGGGACACCTATTGGCACGGATGGAAGGCAGGCCATGCTCAAAACTGGACGTCGCTGGACACTTCCTGGACCTTAGTTATTATGTATACTTGGGTGTCCTTTGCTTGGAGGGTGCAGGGTAGATTCTTTGCAAAGCAAGGCCCCGCTTGAGCCGCAAGCCCAACGGGCGCTCGTCAAGCAAGGGGGCGCTCCCCGCAGCGGACAGAAATACCTGCACGTAGGGCCTTATGGGGAAGGAGCTCGGGACGGGAGGGTGCATTGCAGCAACGTTGACCCATCCAAGTGCGGCGACGGGGGGAGTCC